GGAAGAATTACCATTTTTACAATATGCAGTTTTCCCATCCAGGCACATGGCAAGTTTATCCATTCATTAAAATCTTTAGAATTAATTTTCCTCAGGTATATACTTCTTGTAATTAGTCTCATTTATTTTACTTTCTGGTGTTGTGAATGGGGATTTAATTTCATATTGTCTAAAGGTATAGAGTTTCATATTTTTATTTTATGTGACTGTCACTAAACCCTCGTTTTAGCGTAATAATTTTACACTTGCATCTTAGATTTTCTAGAAGGATAAGACTATCTACAAATAATTTTACTTTGTACATTTCAATAATCATATTTTCTTTTCCATTCTATTATACTGGCTAGAATTTCCATAAAAATACTGAATAACAATTATGATAGTGGGCACTTCTGTCTTAATCTTTATTTAAAGGAAATGTCTCTAAGTTTCACCAGTATATAGGACATAGATGCTGGTTTAAGAAACATATTCTCTCCCACATTAAGAAAAAATTCTTCAAAATGGTACAGATGAACCGGTTTGCAGGGCAGAAATAGACACACAGATGTAGAGAACAAACGTATGGACACCAAGGGGGGAAGTTGTGGGGGTGGGATGAATGGGGAGACTGGGATTGACATATATACACTAATATGTATAAAACATAAATAATAAGAACCTAATGTATAAAAAAATTAATAAAATTCAAAAATTCAAAAAAAAAGAGTTCTATTTCTAATGGTTCATATTACTTTTAAAAGTCTTTTGGCATCTTATCTTAAGCTTTTTTTCCTGTGGTTTACTTCTGTAAAATAATATATTTCCTAATACTAAATCATTCTTGCTTGACTAGTATAAATTCTAAGTCATCTCATTAATATTTCTCTGGATTAGAATTGCTAAAATTTTATTTAGAAGCTCCATATCCACAATAGTGATATTTTAAACTTTTTAGGGCCATAAACCCTTTGACAATCCGAGGAAAGCTATGAACCCTCTCTAGAAATACACTATAAACATAAAACTTTGCATACCATGCAGGGCCTCCATTGTCTCTAGTTTAAGGACTCATCTTTATTATAGTTAACTCTATATTTAGATGGTTTCTATGCCACTGCCATTTCTTAAATACTATATCTTATACATTCTGACTCCTCTTTTGGTCAGCAAGAGGATTTTCGAGAAAATTTTCCAGAAGGTTATGTATATAGATGTTTTCTGAGCTTTTGCAAAGGTGCTAGCCTGATTTTTGCTGTTTTGTTGGCTTTTTTTGTTTGTTTGTTTTGATACTTGTAAGATATTTATACATTAAGACTGATATTAAAACTTTTTAAAAATCAATACTTATCTATTAGTAATTTTCATTTCTGTGGTACTTGGTAAAACCTTTTGCCTCCAGACTTGATATTTTCTTATACTCAGAAGTTACCTTCTTTGACTATTGCTTCTGCTTCACTTATTCTAGCTTCTTGTGTTTTTGTTCATTTGTTTGTTCTAGTTCAGAAAAAACAGGGCAGATTTTTCCAAAAGCAATGATTCTGTTAGGCAAGTTTACATTATTTTTTAATATATTGAGAACATCTACATTTCATATTTATTTAAGTACCAAATTTTTTAATGGAAAATATATGTATTTTCATTTTCTAGCTGCTGGAACAATTCTGAATCCTAGTTTAGACATTGTGATTTCCTGCACTGCCGTTGTAAGCAGTAGCACATTGGTCCTAACTCTGTCACCTTAGCTTGAAATTCTTAACATTTTGTAAAGAACATTATAACATATGGATGATCCTGAAAATATTTTACAGTGTTCACTAAAATTGTTGGTTTTCTGTTAATAGCTTCTTTTTTGAGAACACTATTCATCATTCTGTTCTTTTTCTCACTCATTTGCCCTTTTCTTCTACATTTTGGGTAATCTTTCTTTTTTTTTTTTTAAATAAATTTATTTATTTATGGCTGCATTGGCTCTTCGTTGCTGCGCGGTCTTTCTCTCACCGCAACGAGCGGGGGCTACTCTTCGTTGCGGTGTGCGGACTTCTCAGGCTCAGTAGCTATGGCGCACGGGCTTAGTTGTTCCGCAGCACGTGGGGACTTCCCGGACCAGGGCTCGAACCTGGGTACCCTGCATTGGCAGGCGGATTCCTAACCACTGCGCCACCAGGGAAGTCCCGATTTGGGGTAATCTTAAAGATCCCAGACTATACCTTTAATTTCCTTAATTGACTTTCACAATGAATACTTTCTTAAAAGAAAGGCTGGGATAAAACTGATCACTGCACTACTATTTATAATAGTAAATATTTGGAACAATCTAATTATCCATCCTTAAAGGAATGGAATTAATAAAATGTATTCTCACATGATGGAAATCCAAACAAGGAGATGAAATAAATCTATAACACGGAAGCAACATGATTAGATCTCAAAACTAATGCTGAGTAGGGACTTCCCTGGTGGCACAGTGGTTAGGAATCTGCCTGCCAGTACAGGGGACACAGGTTTGAGCCCTGGCCTGGGAAGATACCACATGCCGCGGAGCAACTAACCCGTGCGCCACAACTACTGAGCCTGTGCTCTAGAGCCTGCGAGTTCCAACTACTGAGCCCATGTGCTGCAACTACTGAAGCCTGCGTGCCTAGAGCCTGTGCTCTGCAACAAGAGAAGCCACTGCAATCAGAAGCCCACACACCGCAACGAAGAATAGCCCTCACTTGCGCCGCAACTAGAGAAAGCCTGCCCACAGCAATAAAGACCCAACGCAGACAAAAAAATTAAAATAAATAAATTAAATTAAAAAAAAAAACTTTCAAAAAACTAATGCTGAGTAAAACAAGAAGGTACATATATGAATATTTATGTAAAATTTAAAAACTATAATAGCACTATATATTATTTATGGCTATATAAATATTAAAAAATGAACTAGAAAAATAACAGATGATAGTGACTGCTCCTAGAGAAGCAGAGAGGGCAACGGAACTTTGTCATGGTGAGAAGGTAGGTATGGCTCAAAGAGATTATAGTGTTTTGTTTTCTTTTTAAAAAAGAGACTGGAAGCAAATACAATGAAAGGTTAATAGCTGTTAATTCTGGATGGTGTGAGTATGGGTTTCTGCCATATCCCTTTTTATGTTTTCAATCTTTAAGATTTCTCAAAAAGGTAGCAAAAAATATTGGATGAGAATGCAGCTAAAAGATCAATGCAAATCCATCACCACCCATGGACTACAATGCAGTAGCACCTAATACATTAAAAATGAGGGGGGAAAAAAAGCAGAAAAAATGAGGTAAGGTTATGTTTTCCCTTAAATAACTTCAGTCTGTTTTAGTATTTTTGAAACATGCTGGGGGTACATCCATAGTAAGAAATATATTCTATAATGTACTTTTTGTTTTGTTCTTCCATTTAACTTCTATCTTCCTTAGCCTAGTCTACGTTTCTGTTTTTATTTATTTATTTATTTAGGTATCCAATATTTCCTTGTTTTTTGAAGCCTGTGCCTGGAATTGCTTTTCCCCTATTATTAAGTGCCAAGTTCCTTTCTACCACTTTTTCATTATAATGTATTCTGAACTATAAGCAGTACCATTTACTTGTCTACCTAAGATATAGATCCCTTTGTTTGGTTTCACTCAGTATTCACTGTAATAAATTCTCTTAGGCTCTCACAGCTTTGTTCTTTGTTTTGATATAGGCTAATTTACTCTCAAGTAATTTATATAGCTACAGTGTTGTACAACCAGTAAACTGAATGTTTCATTTCCCTTTTCAGCTTGACTTAGCCAACTAAATTATGTTCCAAACTGGGTTCTGTGGCATTCTTTTCTACAAATGTCATCATTTGATTTCCCCTATTTTGGGGGAAGGGGAATATGAAATACTAATTTGAAGATTCAAAAAGTTCTTCTCTTAATATGAAGGGATTAACTTAGGGTATACGCAAGAGAGAAAATTGTATATAAGCTATCATTAGTTCTTAAATAAAAACTAAAATTTGTACAGTAATTTACAGTTTACAATGTATTTTTATGTAATTTCCTCATGTGACACTTAATAAGTACAGCTCTAAGTTAGTCATTACTGGAACAATAGACAATTAGAACTACTTACGACTAAAATGTAAGAGTAAACATGCTGGTAAAATCTGTAATTTGGAATTTAGGGTTTCAAGAAAGTTAACTAAGCTGGCTTACAAGTACTCTTCTGGTGACTAATTTAATAAAAATCAAGAGGTGTAAGGCTCAAGTTATCAGGCAATTAACAAAGGAAAAAATCTTTTTATATTTATAAAGAAAAGTTAGAAAAGCAGAAAAACATGGAAATGAAATACTGATATGAACCTCAGAAGTGATTCTTTTCCTAAAAATTAATTAAAAAAAAAAAAGAAATGATTCTTTTCTTATCTATGCTTCATTTCATAAAACAAATGAAAGAAAACCAACCTACTACAAATCTCAGGAGTTAAGTAACCTAATTTCAATCCAATTTTGTGGGGAGGAAGATCAACTTTCTTACATGTATGAAGATACTTTACTGGAAAAAAACAAAAACAAAAATAAAGAAAACCAATCCTATGCACAGTGCTGTAGATCTAGTTACTGACCCTGCAAAAACACAAAAATGCTGTAAGTAAACAACGGATACGTAGGTAAAGCAGGGTTATCTGGTATTGTCTGCATCTTTCTGCCAGTCTCTGGGTAGGGGTAAACTGATGATAGTGGCTACTTCTATCAGTCACTATAGGGGCTTCTCTGTTTTTATTTGGCTTGAGAACTGTTTTGTCATTAGACACCTTGAACTACAAGGCAGAACATGGCTTCACAGAATGCCAACTGATTTCCCAGCTCTTGACAAGTCTGATGTACATAAAGTACACAACTTTTAAAACTTTTGATGGGAAAGCATCCTTTTTTATATATTTTATCTACTCTTACGTCAAATGATTAGCAACAGTAAATCCCTTTTTGGGAGCAAAAGCATTAATGACATAAATAAATTTAACTTATATACATACAGAGAGGTATAGTCTTCTGGAAAGGAGTCTTCATGTGATGTAGAGGGCAATGAACTTGATTTGTTTTCCTGTGCATTCTGGGTCACAGATGTGTGATCTACATGAAAAAATTACAAACTTAACAAGAACACCAAGTTAAAAATCACTCACTGTAAAATCTAAATAGTATCTTTATTGACTAGATATATATATAGCCCTTAAATCTGAAAACATATTAAGATTTCAAGATTGAGCCAAAAAATTAGGTGTCAACATTGTCAAAAACATTAAGAAAATAAGATAGGATAAAATAAAACACTTAGAAGAGATTTCTACTGCAGAAATTGTAGTTTGGCCGACCTTTATCTGAATTTTAATCAACCTTTAAAGTGAAACATCAAGTATCCCTATTTCTGCTTGTATTTTACAAAAAAACATAACTCTTAAAGGCTCTATTAAGGTCACAAAATTGAAAGTTTATGTATCTTTTGTTTTCTCATTATTCTATTACTATCTATTTTGGGGGGAGAGGGAGGTATTTGGGTACCTCTTTTTGTCTTTCCATTTGTATTTTCATATTTCTCTTAGTTTCTCCTATATCTTTCCACACTTACTTTCATCTCATTTGTTGTCTCTTCTTTTTCAACTTCATCTATTCTTTCTAACATGACTCCACTATAGAAATAAGCTATGTATTTAATGAAAAAGTTATAGATTTCCTGCTCCTATTTTGAAAAAAATGGATATGTAGAATATTCTATGTTTGGTTTTAAAAAACTGTGCTTCTTCCTATGCAGCAGTGGACCTTAAGAAAAAAAGTGATTTTCATCCTGCCTTAGATTATTAACTTGCATTGGTCCTTTAGTGCAGACCACTCTTATTAAAAAGAAAAAAAAAGTTTAAGTAAATAATAGTTTAAGTTATAATCCAAGGTTATCCTTGGCTAATTAGAAAGCATAAAAAACCCTCTTTATACAGGTGAGAAAAGAAGATTTAAAATCTGATAGTTGAAGAGAGCTGAGTAAATAATATAATAACTGATTAAAAATTAAATAAGTTTAACAAGTTAAGAATTTCCCAGCTAATTTCTTTGAATGAGCCATATAAAGCCATATTAACAAATAGGAACAAAACAAATAAATATAAGCATAGTTAGAAATAAGATTTACTAAAAAACATGGAGATTTTAAATTAACCATTAGATAAGGGGAGAAAGGAGAAATAATAATTTCTTTCAAGAAAACAGTATCCAAGTCTTTGTATGGGGATACAGCAAATATTTACAGAATTATACACAATCAAAGAAAATTAAAGGTAATTAGTGGTTTGGAGAATTCAGGCTGGATCTGGGATGGCTTGTTTTGACCTCAACACCAAGTCCTTTTGTTTCCCCCAGTCTCAGTATTCCTTTTAATATAAATACTAACATGAATCTTTATTACTAGAAAGTGTTTAATCCGTACATATGCTAGCAATGTCAATTACATAACTCCCCAATTACTTTTAAAACATTGCTCTACCACTAGCAAACATATACTTTTATTTTGATAAATTTGTTACACTTCAGATGAACTATATAAAAATATGAAACTATAGTACTCAGTATTTCTATTGATGAAATCTTTACTTTAAAAGAACCAAAACAGGGCTTCCCTGGTGGCGCAGTGGTTGAGGGTCTGCCTGCCGGTGCAGGGGACGTGGGCTCGTGCCCTGGTCCCGGAGGATCCCATATGCTGCGGAGCGGCTGGGCCCGTGAGCCATGGCTGCTGAGCCTGCGCAACCAGAGCCTGTGCTCCGCAACAGGAGAGGCCACAGCGGTGAGAGGCCCGCGTACCGCAGAAAAAAAAAAAAAAAAAAAAGAACCAAAAAAAAAACCAACCTATAGTCTTTTAGTGGGAAAGACTGTTTCAGAAAGAAAAAAAAAACAAAAAAACGTTGCTTAGAATTAATTCCTCTTACCACCTCCTGCATTTAAAAGCTTCTCTTGCAAAGCAAATGTAATCCCTTAAGGATGTGTTGATTCCAAGTGCTATTGAAGGATACTGAAAGACTGTTTTCTTCAAGAATCTACTCTTCTAAAACTGTACATTAGCTACTGAAATTGAAAATACTTTTGAATAACAAAAGCTCTCTTTAAAATAAACTTGGGACTTCCCTGGCGGTCCAGTGGTTAAGACTCCTCTTTTCCACTGCAGAGGCATGGGTTCAATCTCTGGTCAGGGAACGATGATCCCGCATGTCTCGGCACAGCAATCAATAATCAGTCAATCAATAAATCAATAAATAAAACTAAACTGATGATGTTAAGTCATTTTTCAGAGATTTAAAACCTTATGGCTCCAAATTATGAGTTAAAATAATAATTTGTTGAAATATTTACCAATATTAATTAAAATTTAGTAAATGTACCTCCTCAACACTTTAGCAAATTAATGATAGTCTAAGATTTATAGGACAGTGATTCTGATAAAATAACTTGCTTTTTAATTAAAAAAATTTTTAATTGACATATAGTTGATCTATAATGTTGTGTTAGTTTCTGGTGTACAGCAAAGTGATTCAGATATATATATATATATATATATATAAATATATACACACACACGTATTTTTTCATATTCTTCTCCATAATGGTTTATTATAGGATATTGAATATAGTTCCCTGTGCTATACAGGACTTGTTGTTTATCTAAAATAACTTTTCAATTTTTCTTTTTATAATCCTGGTACATTATCTTTGTTCAATTACTTCTAAAATAAATTTGTTAGACTGATGGTCTAATAATAATCTAGAAATGAAAAAAATTTCCATCAATTTATCTATACCAGAATGTGCCTTTTAGTATTGTTCTTTACACAAAGTATCAATAGGTTTATAGTGGTTTGGAGTCTTGGAATTCTATTTGCCCTTCTTATAGTAGAAGCGTTTTTGAAAAAGAGATACAATTCTTCCCGGAGAGGTTTAGTAGAGTATGCATTTCCTATGGGGTAGGACTTTTTGTTTACTAGGGAAACTGATTTCCATATATGGATCTTACAGTTTTATTTTTAAACTGTCTTCAGTTAACTTGACATAATTAAGGCTGGCTTGCTTCAAAGCAAGAAAACAGCAGAGAATATTCTAGATTGGGATTAGAAATGTACATACCCTTTATCAAAGTTGACTTACTATTTATAGTTGCTTCCTTCACTAGAATCATTGCTTGGATGTATTCTGTTAAGGAAAGGAAAAAAGAATGAAAACAATCAGCAGCAGTATCATCTTCACTCAAGATGTCAGCTACTGTACTAGGCAATTTACATACTTTATCTCATTCAATCTTCACAACTCCTCTAAGAGGTTCTTATGATTATCTACTGAATACATTAAAGACAAAGAAATTAAGGCCTAGTGGTTAAGCTGTTTATTCCAGGTCAATAAGCTAGAAAGTGGCAGAACTGGATTCAAACCTAGATATATCTGATTCATGAAGGAATGAGAAGGAATATTAAAATGAAAAATACTATTAATTTTGTGGACAAGCACATCATAGATTAATGTCATAAGAACATCCATAAAGTATTAAGAATATCCTGGGGAAAAATAAAGGATAGTCGGGGGAGATTTTGCTTGAAAATCATATGTTCTGATGGAATGAAGGAAATTTCCATATAAAAGTCTATGTTCTACAACCACTTAGGTTGAAGACAAAGAAGCAGAAAAAATACTGGGTTGACTGAACTGACCGCCTATGTAGAACGCAAGGTTTGCTTTCTGAAGACTACTAAGGCAAGTTCTGTTTAAAGCAGGCAAAATATATTTATATATTTACTTTTATATTAAAGAAAATAAGTTGTCTCTGAATGATTGGGTAATACATAATTTCTGTTATATTCTTCTATATGTACCAAATGTTCTACAATGAGTTTTGCAATACACCCCCCCAAAAAAAGATAAAATGAGGGAGAAGAAGGTAGCCTGAGATAAATTCAGCAGCTATTATTCAAAGTAACCAGCTTCATCCAGTTTTACAAAATGTCCACAGTATGGTAAAAACAAGTTTTTATAGAAGCAGGACACACACACACACAAAAAGCAAGTAGAACTGATGTTAGGTTCTTAAAAAACAAAAGAAGTTATTTGACTTTTAAAACGAACAGCATACTGGAAACAGAATTATATTATATTATCAGTGGGTAATATTCAGCATTAAATGTACTGAACGTTTTTATTGCTTCATACCTTTATTTGTGGCAGATCCATCTTTGATCTTTTGTTTCAGTGACTGCAGCACATTTTGCACTTGTTCAAATATGAAATCCACTTTCCCATCATCTTCTAGCTCCATCCAGAAAGTTTTTGCATCACCTAAAGAAAAAATAATAGCCTAAGAGCTCAACAGACATAATTTTCCTAAGGCACATGTTATTAAAAATATACTTGGTTTCTAAATAAAAATCAAAATTTAACTGGCCTATTACTTTCCTTGAAGAAAAAGATTTTGGTCACTGTTTCTTTACAACGACCTACAAGCAAAAAATATGACCTAGGTATCTCACTTATTTCTGATAATTTTTAAAAAAATGTGTTGAAAACTTCAGTGACACTTTTTTTTTTTTAACTTTAAATGCCTAAACAATTTATTTTTCTTTCTGTGTAGTGACACTATTTCTTGACTGGAAAACAGAAGGAATGACTTCATTCTAGGGGTGGGAGTGGGTGTATTTATAGACACATTCATTTTAAAAGTTTCAAGGACATAACCTCCATTGAGTATGGAAGTGGAGGGTTCCAGAAGGAAACATCTCAACAATTGTTGAAATAACTAAATGTCTAACAATAATGCTTTAAAAACTATCTTTGATAGTAACTTTTTAATAATTATGTTGACTGAAAGAAAAATGCACAAACTACAAGTTGCACATTATGTTTTATTTGGCAAACTACTGAGGACCACAGCCTGGGAAACAGCCTTTCAGACAGCTCTGAGGAACTTCTCTGAAGAGGTAAGGGAGGAGCCAGGATATACAGAAGTTTTTTGCTGGGGGGAGTGGGGCTGGGGGGCGGTGGTAATAAAACATGTAGTCAAACATCAAAAGATTACTGCTAATCACAAAAGACACACATCTCAGTTTAATGATTTTAGTGCTTTTCTGTGTCTGGGGAGATGCAAGAGTTTGGGCTCATTGAAGTTACTCCTCAGACATGCATCTTAACTATCTAGGACTAGTATCCGGTTTTTCTACACTCTGAACTCCCCTCAGGGCGTGCTGCTGCGGGCGGATGTAGTGGATGACGGCTTGATGGCAGGCAATATTCACTGTTTACTGAAATGGCAGGCAACATTTTTTGTTCACACTTACAGGAGGCAAAATAATGTTTAAAGCTTTTATAGATAAAGTTATATAGATAAGCCAACATTTCAGATGCCCAGCAAGCTAACACCTTAATCAAAAATTTTCTAGCGAAATCATCCTTTCAAAGCTGAAAACAGAAATACGAGAAATGCAATGAAAATAAATAGGCGAAAGTCAAATCTTACACCATGTTTAAAAGTAACAGGGGCTTCCCTGGTGGCGCAGTGGTTGAGAGTCCGCCTGCCGATGCAGGGGACACGGGTTCGTGCCCCGGTCCGGGAAGATCCCACATGCCGCAGAGCGGCTGGGCCCATGAGCCATGGCCGCTGAGCCTGCACGTCCGGAGCCTGTGCTCCACAACGGGAGAGGGGCCACAACAGTGAGAGGCCCTCATACCGCAAAAATAAATAAATAAATAAAAATAAAAGTAACAAAAAATACCTAAAATGTTAAACACAAATTATTTATAAAATATATAAAATTAATGTATAAAATGTTTAAAATGAATAGGGCCTTAAGCAAAGGAGAAACATTACAAAAACTGCACTGTAGAAAGGTCACTTGAGAAGCCATTGGGAGGATTAATGAGCAGACAGCGTAGTAAGTTTACAAAAAATACATTTTCCTTAATATTAAAAATTAAACCCAGAGCCTCCAAGTTGGTAATGGAGTGAGATTCTTCAAAAGAGGCTTAGGACTCAGAGTCCCAACTCTCCCTGGCAGTCATCTAACCAAAGGGGGACCTCTGGCTAATTAGGGCTGCTGCTACCATAGAAGCCTCAGGAGGGGTGCTGTTTCCCTGTTAACTCTCTGGCCTGATGTGTACTACACAAGACTAAGCCTACTTTTCCTTTTTCCCCGTAGCACAGTTCAGACAAAGGTTTCAACATTTGAAAAACATGCAATGTGAAAGGACAAAAGGAATGAGAAATGATGTTTTAGAGACAGATAGGGGCTGTGACATAGCCTTGAGTGCCATGCTAAGCAACTTTATTTTTATATGGAAGGCTATAGGGAGCCACTCAAGAGGTTTAAGCATCTTACTATGTTATTAATTTTGCTTCTAAAAAATCACTAAAGTGGCAGTGGGAAGAGGGACGAGACAAGAATGATTTCTATATTTCTGACTCAGGCAACCATATGTATAATAATGGTATCCACTGCGATAGGGAATAAAGGTAGAGAGACAAGTGAGAAATTCAAGTAGGGTGAGTAAACTGGATGCACAGGCTCCAGGGTAAGATCTGATCCAGATATACAAATTTTGGAGTCAATAGCACACAAATTCTTGCTAAAGCCACAAAATAGATGTGATTAGAGAGAATCTGTAGAATGAAATGAGGGTCTTCTGTAGAACATCAACATGGAGTGCTTATTAAATACATCGATAATGACCTAGGTATGTGTACATGTATATATCTATATTTCTCCATCCATCACTTGAAGAGCTTCAGGACATTGGTACAGAGAATCTCTGAACACCTTTGAGCCTGTTATCAGCAAACTGTAGTCTATGAACTCCTGGGAGTTCCCAAATCCTTTCAGACAATACGCTAGGTCAAACTATTTTAATAGTAATATCAAGACATTATTTGCCCTTTTCTTCCCTATACTGACATTAACTGATGGTTCAAAAGCACTGGTGAGTAAAAATGTTGGAGCCTTAGTGTGAATCAAGGCAGTTGCACTAAACTACTAGTAAGTCATTATTATTATTTACCACCAATTTCACTTAAGAAGGTCCTTGATAAAGCAACATAAATAATTACCAAAAAAAAAATAATAATTACCACAATACAATGGCTGTTTCAAGGAAAAGCACTAGGGAGATTGTTTGAGTTGTAAGCTAAACTAGCTGGTTTTTTTTTTTTTTTTTCATAGAAAACCATTTTTCCTTAAAAGAACCACTAATAAAAATTATGTTTTTTTCCAACTTGGGTGTCTGGTACACATTTGCTCAAACATGAATAAAGGGAGCCTATCACTTGAAGGACAAAAGTAACAGCATTTGTTGCTAATGAAAAATTCAAGCTATCAAGTTGAAACTGAAAATTTAGAAAACTTGCATCTGCCATGGTAAGCTTGAGAGCTTCTCAATAATCACTTTTTGATGAGATTGGTAGCAATATTAACAAATGTAATATTTAAATACTGTATGATTAAATGTGTCAACATTTGGAAAAATCGGCATAATTCATTGAACCAATGTTTTCCAAGTGGCCAATGCATGATGTTATAAAATCATACATGTGTAAAAGGCCCATCAAAGTGCGAGACAAACCAATGGATTTTTAATGTAACATAGTGTAAAAAAAGCTCACTGATAAGAATTCAGATTCCACACTATAACTAACCTTGAAGGAATGACTACTTGTTGAGTTTTGTAGTTGTATCAAAGAAAAATATCCACAATTATCTGAGAGGCTATTAAAATATTCTTCCTTTTTCCAACTTCTTGTCTGTGTGAAGCTTCATTTTCTTTATACATTTACACCAAAGCAACATATCACAACAGACTGAATGCAGAAGGAGATCTGAGAATCTCTCTTCTATTAAGCCAACTATTAAAGAGATTTGTAAAAATATAAAACAATGGTTTTCTCACTAATTATTTTCGTTTCAGAAAATAGTTATGTCTCACAAAAATGTAATTTGTTAACATGTTGGGTTTATTATTTAAAAAAAAATAAGCCAATTACCATTTTTGAAGCGTCTCAGTTTTCTAATACAGTAAATATGAATAGATATTATCCACATAAACAAAAGCTGTTAGGGGTTTTAAACACTTTTAAGAGTATAAAGTAGGGCTTCCCTGGTGGCGCAGTGGTTGAGAGTCCGCCTGCCGATGCAGGGGTACACGAGTTCGTGCCCTGGTCCGGGAAGATCCCACATGCCGCGGAGCAGCTGGGCCCGTGAGCCACGGCCGCTGAGCCTGCGCGTCCAGAGCCTGTGCTCCGCAACGGGAGAGGCCACAACAGTGAGAGGCCCGAGTACCGCAAAAAAAAAAAAAAGAGTATAAAGTAGTCCTGAGACCAAAAGAAAGTTTGAAACCACTGGCCTAGATAACTGTCCAGTGAAATTAGTACTACAATTAATACAATCTGTAAACAATCTGCATATTACAAGTATGTTAAAGGGTGGTGAAACTATTCTGTATGATACTGTAGTGGTGTATACATGACATTATGCATTCGTCAAAACCTATAGAACTTGAAAGCACAAAGAGTGAAGCTTAATGTATGCAAATTTTAAAATATCATTTAAGAGATCAGGGATCCCAGGAAGGAATGTATACACAACCTCTCTGAAGGGCTGAGTGGAAAAGGTGCTGACCTAAATAACTTTGGAAATAAATGGACTCTGTAAAACTATAGGCAAAAGGAAGTTGCACAAGGACTGAGGTGTCACACCTGGGAATAAGTTTACAGTACTTCTGATACTGCTATACATATATACTAGAATCGAGCAATTAAATAAATGGATAACAGACAATGGGAATTTATAGATAAGCAAGGAGAGTAAGCTAGAATAATCCATGTGGTAATGGATTAGAGCCAGAAACATCAGTATAAACTCATGTTTAGCTCAATACAGATACAGATGGTTACATATAGAAATATTTATAGATATGTGTATATACAATTATATTTATATATACTTTGCTCTGTCAGCTGAGAGGGCCAGAAGCAAGACACCCCAATAACAAATGAATACACCTACTGCCCAGATCTTAGTTTGTAATACCATTTTCCAATAAAAGGAACCAGGAGGGCTCATTCAAGAAATGGCTCATTCTAGGACTATGGCAATATACAAGATGAGCCTGGAGCATCATATAGTACCAGAAAATAAGGAAGTGCTAAAAACCAAAAGCAAAGAACAAAACAAAACCCACCTACATTGATGAGGGTATGTCAAAGAGACAGGAAGCTGACCGAAAGAGCTCCAAATGCCTAATCCTGGGACAATTTGAAGAACAAAATGAAACAGTACTGGATTATAACCCAAAGTATACAGTAAGTATCCATGAATCCATACTGATGTAAATAAATGATTGAATAAAACATATACTGGGGAAAGGAAACAAATCTCCCTTGCAGAAGAATTCTGAAAAATTAATGTAAATATTCTGTTCTCAAAGAGGAGGAGCATAAATTCATGTTCCTTAAGTATGGGCTACACACAGTGAATTCCTGTCAAAGAGTATAGTAGAGAAAGGGAGAAAAAAAGAGAGTAGTAATTTACAGTGGAGAAGCCACTTAACACTATGTCAGCCAGGTGATCTAGCTCAACAACAGCAGGTGAGAAATCATGTTGGTAACATGCGCCCTTGATATCATTTCATAAAACTGACACTTTACCTCTATGGTCTTCCTCCCCAAAATCCACTACCCCAGTCTAACCGCGAGAAAAACAAAAATCAGTCAAAAAAGTCCAATGAAGGGGCATCTTACAAAACACTTGGATACAAAATCTTACAAAAACAAGGGAAGTCTGAGAAACTGTCATATGCAAAAGGACCCTAAGGAGACATAAGTAAATGTAATGTATCCTGGATGGGATCCTGGAATAGAAAAAGACATAAAGTAAGGAAATAAGAATAAACTATGGACTTCAGTTAATTATAATGGGTCAATAATGGTTCATTAATTGTAACAAATGTACCAGCCAAATGTAAGATTTTAATCATAGGCAGAACTGGGTGCAGAGAATATGAGAACTCTCTGTACTATCAATTTTTCTGTAAATCTGTAAGTTTTCTAAAAAAAAGAAAGTGTATTTTTTTTTTTTTTCGGTACACGGGCCTCTCACTGTTGTGGCCTCTCCCGTTGCGGAGCACAGGCTCCGGATGCACAGGCTCAGCGGCCATGACTCACGGGCCCAGCCGCTCCGTGGCATGTGGGATCCTTCCAGACCGGGGCATGAACCCGTGTCCCCTGCATCAGCAGGCGGACTCTCAACCGCTGCGCCACCAGGGAAGCCCAAAGTGTATTTTTAAAAAGTACATTAAGGTACTGACTTAGTATTACAGATACACAACTAATTATAAAGACAATCAAAATTGTTGCTACATGAGAGTAAATCCTATAAATCCTATTAATTCTTTCTAATTCAGAAAAGTTACTTGCACAGAAAAACCTTGAAAATTCCACAATTCAGCTTCATTAAGTAGTCTATATACTTTTAAACATAAAGTTTAACAATGGTTTTTCAACCTACCATTTTTTTCTCCCATTTTTGGCGTTGTTTACAAACATAAAATTCTTCAAAATTAACTTTATCAAAGAACTGAATCACTTTGATTGTAGAATATAACTGGAATCCAACTGTGGTCTCTATGAAGTTTGCAGTACTCAGAGAAAATACATCATTATACCACTCTAAACCAAATATTCTTTGATACTTGAATTTTCGAGTAGAAATTGTGGTTGAAGAAACTTTCAGAAATGATCACTAGTCCAACTTAATGACAAGTCCATGCATCTTCATCAAGTGAATACATATAGTCGTATCAGATCATTGACAATATTATTTTAAAAATAAAAACCAACTCCATCTTTCGGTCCATGAATGCATGAAACATTCTGTAAGGAAAACAATAAGGAATGGTGCATATTGGTAAATAATAAAATATATAAGAAAAAAGAGATTGTTATAACAATAGTGCTATCCTTTAAAACAGCATGAACTATTATGAAAAAAGAATACATATTAACTGAAAAAACATGTAAAATATCAATATTAGGAAAATTACGGAAAAATTAAGAATCACCTACTTAATGTTAATTAATATAACAGAAAAATTAAGATCTACTTAACATATGTTAATTAATATAAATTAACTCCATTTTAAAAAACTTTTTAAATGGGGATAATAATGCTAACTACCTCAAAAGATTGTTGTGAGGTTAAGACTTAATCACCTAGAATACCTGGCACATTACAAAGGACTCAATAAATGCTAGCAATTATTATTATTCTTTCAGTATATATACTTTTAAAACAAAATTTGAATTTTAGTATGTATAATTTTTTATAATCTTTCATTGATAATATATCCTGTACTTTCTCTCGTCATTAATGTTTTCCTGTAATATGAGTTTTAAGTGGCTGTATAATGTACTTTGGTCAATAATCCATATATTAAATTACACTAAAGAACAATTACTATGTTCTTTAGTGTAATATGAACAATTATAAACAATAATTATGCAATTATTAAAATTTAATAAGTTAATAATTAGTACTATAAATAAACCTGTATAGTGTACATTTAGATTATTTCTATTTTTCCAGTATAATAAATAAGGCTGGAATATATCTTATGCATATCTGATTATTTCCTGAAGATATACACCTAGAGGTAGAACTAAAAGGTCAAAAAGAGATCAGCAATTTTAGTCTCAAGATGTTAGTCAACATATACATTCTTCTCCCACTGCCACACCAAATCTGCAGAAATGGTAATTTTTTTTGTAATTAAAAATATAAAGTCATGTTGAAAACAAAAAGGGAATTCTCTATAGATTGAGTCTGTGCGACCTCTCTGGGGAAAGGAAACAGATGGGAAGTTGCAGAGATAATGCCAACCACAAACACATCACCACGGCAAAAGGAAGAGTAAATCCTCTCAGAGGAGATGAATACACAACCAAGAACCATCAAACATATGAAGAAAGCTACACCATGAAAGAGACTTAACAAGCCTACCAAACTGATGAACTTATATTAAGGAGGAGAATTAATAGAGCATCCTGAAAATAATTTTAAAGCAAATACTGTATTTAATATCAAAGAGCTAAAGAAGGAAACCTCATCTATGAAAAAACATACAATTTTTTAAAATAACCAATTGGCTATCTTGGATATAAAAACAGTTATTGAATAAACTCAATAGATAGATATAATAGCATAGACTCAGATGAAGAGCCAGTTAATAAACTGAGAGACTGAGTTGAGTAATTCACTCAGAACACAGAGCAAAGAAAAAAAAGGAGGGATAACTAGAATGAAGAGGCAATAATGACCAAAAATTTCTCAGAACTGGAAAACACATTAGCCTACTAATGTGGCTAGTGTGGGTAAGGGTCCATTGAGTATCAAGCAAGATAAACTTTTTAATACCACTAGACAAACCATGGATAAACTTCAGAATATCAAGAAAAAAGACAAAGTCTCAGAAACTTTCAGAAAATCTAGATTATCTAAAAGGAATGTTTATTAGACTGGTACTCAGACTTCTCATCAGAAATGCCAGATGCAAAGTGTTAAGGGAAAATAAGTCTGAATCCAGATACTATTTCAGCCAAGGTATCTTTCAACGGGGGTTGCGGGGAAGGCTTTTACAGACACTCAAAGACTCTGAAAGAAATAAAGAAGTACTTCATGAATAAAAACTAATGTAGAAGGAAGTACTGAGGTAAAAGAAGCAAAAGTGAGCAAATAAATGAGTAAAACACATTAATGCTACATAAATACAGATTAAAAATGGGTTTTAATGATGAAACCAAATTGCTAGAAGATATAACCATAGGAAATTTACATTCTTTTTTGAAGGAGGGATGGAAGAGGATTCTTGCAAGATCTGAGAAAATAAAGTAGAAGCATACTAAGTTCTTCGTAGGGAGGATATCAATACAAACGAAATGTAGACTTTGTTAGGAAAATATAAATTTAATAATTGTGTTAAAAATGTAAAAGTAGGGACTTCCCTGGTGGTCCAGTGGTAAAGAATCCGCCTTACAATACAGGGGACGTGGGTTCAATCCCTGGTCATAAAACTAAGATCCCACATGCCGCAGGGCAACTAAGCCCTCTCCCCGCAGCTACTCAGCTCAACTAGAGCCCGCGCACCCTCGAGCGTGCAAGCCACAGCTAAAGCCCGCGCAAGACAACGAAGGGCCCACACGCCGCAACTAAGACCGACGCAGCCAAAAATAAATAAAATTTAAAAATAATAAATAAACCTTTAGAAAAAAATGTAAAAGTAATCTATGAAAAAGAAAACAGAACAAAGAAAACCTCAATTAAAACCTTGGGGCAAACCTCAATTAAAATGAGAAATGGAAAAATATAATATATAAAGGATACAATGGGAAGCAAGGTAAATAAGAGGACAAGAAAAAGGCCAATTATGTTAATAATCACAAAAAAGGTGAATGTGTTCAGTCTTACTTATTAAAGGACAGACTCTCAGATTAAATTGCAAGCAAAACCTAGCTATATTTTAAAATAAGAGACCCACTTAAATCTCACAAAATGTCATCAAAAGGTTGAAATGAAGGGATGTGAAAAAAAGACATACCAGCAAATACAAGAAGAAACATTCATATCAAACAAAATAGAAGTTAATATGAAAACCAATAAAAGAGACAAATATTTTACACTGACAGAACAATTCACCATGAATATCTAACTGAACTTATTGACTAAATACCAACTAGGCTCAAGAAAAAAAGAAAAAAAAAAACAATTAGAGGGATAAATACGAAAAGGAAATTAAAACAATTAAAGATCTTACCAGAGCTGCATGCCACACATCCCCATCTCTCACTCCCAGTATACCAAGTCCAAAAAGTTTTATAGAAGAATTCTACAAAACTTTCAAGGAATGGATAATTTCCATAGTATACAAACTGTTCAAGAGCAGAAAAAATATGGGAGGCTACTCAACATTTTTTTGAGGTTACTGTAACCTTGACGCATAAGAAAAGAAACTCAAGGCCAAACGCACTTCTTGGTATAGAAGCAAATATAGTAAGTAAAAACACGCAGCAGTAGAGTAAAAGTATGTTACCAAAGTATGGTTTATACCAGGAATACCCAAAAAGTTTAGCATTGTAAAGTTACTCAATGTAAATTTCTACATTAACAGATAAATAGAGGAAAACTATCATCTTAAATACAGAAAGACACACAAAAGAATTTCAATAAAAGTCAACAACTATTCTGGGGTGGGCCGGGGGCGGTGGGGGGGGCGGTGGGGAAGAGGAAGGACTCTTGCAAACTAGGAATAAAAGAGAATTTCTTTAACCCGATAAAGACTACCTACCAAAACAAAGAAGTAAATATCATATTCAATGAGGAAACATCAGAAGCATTTTCGTTACAGTCAGGCACCAGATGGGGACACTTGCCACCAATGTAAGTTTGGTACTGGAAGTCTTAGAGAAATACAGTAAAATAAAAAGAGACCTAAAGATTGTAAAGAAGAGAAAAATCTAACTGTAGAATAAATAATTGAAAACAAACTTAAAATTTTAACTTAAAGTTAAAAGCCAACCAAAGAGTTGGGAGAAAATGCTTGTAACATTTTTTAACAATGGCAACAAAAAGTGGACATAGCCACAGACTCTAAAGAAATTTTTAAAAACTATACAGGATACACAGTAACCAGGATGCAAAAAGAACTCCTCAAATCATTAAGAAAAAGATAATTCAATAGAAAAATGGGCAATTTAAAAAAAGAAATTATAGAAACATATATATTATAGGTCAATAAACATATGAATAGATACTGCAGTTTTACTGGTAATCAGAGAATGAAAAAAATTTTTAAATGAGTATAATTTTCATCCATCATATGGACAAAAAGTACAAAGATAGTATCTCATGTTGATCTAGATTGTAGGGAAATTGAACTGTCATAGACTACTTTGTAGGATGTGTAAATTAGTAGAAGTATTTTGGAGGCAAATTTGGCAATACCTATTAAAATTAAAAATGTTCATAACTTAAAACCAAGCAATTCCACTTTTAGGTATATGTTCTTGAGAAACAGCACACGTGCACAGCAAAACAAATACAAGGATATCCCTGCAGCACTGTTTGAAAGGTGAAAAACTGAACAACCTAATGTCCATCAAGAGGAGAATGGTAAATAAAATGCTCTACATAGTACATATCAAGCAAAATATAATTTAACATGAAAATCGATAAATGAGACAAAGATAAATATTTTACATTAACAGAACAATTCAGTCATACATTGGAACACTATCTAGCAGGTGAAAGAAATGAGCTGTAAATAACATAACAAGCTATAAAATAACACGTTTACACTGCAAAAACACTGTCAAGTGAATAAAATTACAAAATTATATGGTATGATACCACTTCGATTTTTAAGAATTACAAATGCATATATGCACCTACAGAGAATATGTAAGTGTAAAAAAGGACTTGAAGGCTCTGCATCAAAGTCTTGAGTGTGGAATGGGAGGAGAAGGGGGTAGGTAATGGATTGTGGATTGTGCTCTGTATCTGTAAGGTTCTAATTTCATAAAAGGAGAATGTAAAAATGCACTAATTTAAAAATTAAGTATATAACTTTCAAAAAGGGACTGTCCATTTTAAAGCCTTCTGGAGCATATTGCCAAACTGCCTTCCAGAAATGTTCTACCAATTTATACTTCCACCTGTAGCATATAAGCACACTCAGTAATAGCTTCGTTTTAAAGAAAGCTCTCACCAGTGTTGTTTATACCTTCTGAAAATTTAAAAGTAACTGAACTTACAAAATTAAAGCATGTTTAGTGAAGAAAATTTGCAAAATATAGTAAAGCATAGAGAAGAAAATTTAAATCACTCATAATCTCATCATCCAGAGACAACCAGTGTTATTTGAGAGTGTAACAGGATTTTAAAATGTGCTCATATTTTTTCCCCTTCTTTTTCATTTTGGCAGAAAAATAGTCTGTTTCGCTTCATTTTATGGTTCCTTTTCGTTTTTACAAATAGGCTCTTAGGAAACTGTGACCATTTCCTCTCTGTTATGTTCTAATTGTGATGACAGTAATGAACATTTATTGCGTATAAACCATGTGACAGGCAGGCTTCTAAATACTTCACGTGTTCGTATTAATGTGCCTAACAATCATGTGGGATAAATTAGCATGCCCGTTTTTCTCACAAGGAAGCTAAAGCCGCCACACTGTAAGTGGCAGGGAACAACTAAGGAACCAAGCAGCCTGGTTTTTGAGCCCGTTTTTTGATTATTCCAATCTACCGCCTCATTAATACATGCAGAACTCACTGCAGGTTTCCACCTGCCGAAGAGCACAATTACATACTGTTCCTTATTTAACTACCTGTTGGGGATAATTTCTTATTGGATTGTGGTTAACGAGGGTCAGGAGCTCTTAGGATCTGACCTCAACTCCGTGATCTTGGGTAAATGATTTTACTTATTTAGGGTTTGTGTGGTCTTACCTGTGAAATGGGTCAGTGGTTAAACCATCAAATTCTGCTTCTGGATTTTGGACTGCAGTCCACTCCCTGCAGCCCCTTTTACAGCCTCAGGTTCCCCAGCTGCTTAGGAATCACCTCACATGAAGATGTGCACCGGGTGACAAGAGACTGGAATGCGGGCTGAGAACTCAGAGCGCCCGCAGTCCCTTCTCCAGCCCGGGACTGCACGTGGGTGAAAGAAGGGAGGTGACAAGGGCTGGGATCCACGCGGCCGAGAGCTCCGCCGCGTTCCCGGGTGCTGGGCCGAAAGAGCCGTCGGGAGGGCCAACCACGACCGTGCCTCGGTTACACCGGCTCGACTGCGGTTTCCACGCCTCCCGCTCCGTTGGCGAGGCTGGGTTCCCCCGCGGGTCGGACTCCTCTCTCACTGCACGCCACCGAGACCCCACGGCCCCAGGTGCCCTCTGGCCGAGAAGTACTTCACCATATACTAGACCTCACCTCAGCAAAAACAGTCCCGCCTCGCTTCAGCAGGGACGGAGGACCGCCCAAACCCTAATGGCCAGGCCTAACACCAACCCGAAATGGGAGGAGTCGGACACTGAAGGTTCCCACCACCTGGCCCGGAGCCCATTGGCTGCACACCCACTGGGTCCACGCCTCAGAACTTCCGCGTGCGTACCGTCGGCAACGCGGGAGCGTCGGAGCGCGCCGTCTCCCGATTGGCTGTCAGAACTCTCAGGTTGTCTCGCGCTCTCTGGCTGGACCAATGGGGATATCCGCAGTCGAGAGGACGGCATCGCTGGAGTGGTGGCTCAGCTGTTTCTTCTGGTAGGTGGTTGGAGCCATCTTGGGTGTGTCTGGGACGGGGCTCCTTGGCGGTTGAAAGCGTGCTTAGCAGCTCAAGATATAGAGGTGTTCTGAGGGAGCAGTGGAGGAGAGGAAGGGCCTGAGGAAACAGACCTGGCGCCTTCTTACTTCCCTGAAAGGGAAAGGTTTTCCTGGTCTGAGTCTCAGCCCTGGCTAGGAAGAGCGATAAATGGTGGCGGTGATGGGGAACGCAGGCTTTGGTTGGTTTGTTATTGTCGGGGCTTGGCGAGGACTCTGATGCCTTAACAGTGATCCCTTGGGTTCCAGGGAACTATTCCAATAATCTTTGTGTCGAAAAGATTCTGACCATCAACCCTCTTTACTGACAAAGGAGGTTGGCTGATGGACTGCCTGATTCAGAAAGGAACAAGGCTGGTAATGGAAGGGGACGGGGGAGATACCTCACGACTGTCCTCAGATTCGAAAGAGACGTCTTCATTTTCTGTCGTTTGCGAGGGAGTGACTGCTAAAGTGTTTGCCGTACTCGGTAGTTAACCTCTGACTAAGGCCCTCCTTTGGTAGTAGTGAGCGTCAGGTTCTGCGTTAGGGCAGTTTTATTCATTAAGTGTACAGCCAGCATTCCTGCAGTGGTCTTTTTTTAAAAGCAAGAAAGTAGTTGATCTTTGCAGAAACAGTGGAAATGAAGGAAGAATTTTGTCAAATTTTGGTTTTCCTTGTTACAATCTGCTGAAGATTTAGGAATCTCCGGGTTTGCCTTGGCATCCTTGGTTGCTTCGTCATGGGTAGGGAGAGGTTTTTGTAAGAAAAAGCATCTTAACTTCTCAGCTCTTTGGGGATGGGAGGAGGGAGACAGGAATTACCTCCTTTTCCTCCTTATTATTTAAAAAAATCGAAGTAGAAAGCACGCATGGTTATTCATTTGAGGGGAAATTTTATCGGATCTGAAAACCTAGCTAAAAGGTTAATATTTTGTGATTAACTTCAGCAGTTTTGACAATCATGAGCTGAAAGCAGACACTTATTGCCTTGAGTTTAGTTTTCATTTATCCAAGGTTAACTGGTAACCCAACTCAAAAGTACCATGGCAGGAATACCAAAGAGAACAGCAGTAAAATAATAATTGAAAATTAATTTTCTTTTACAATTTTACTTTTTATTCATGAGTCTTAAAAACTTAAGTTGCGAGAGTTCAGTATCAGTAATTTAGTGGTGAGTTGATGGCTAAGGTACTACGTACATAAGGAATGTTGGTGTCTGTGGAGAGTTTTGGAACCAATCCTGGGCGGATTTCCAGGGAGGACTGTATAGGCTATCAAAGTAAAGTTGGTGGGAATTCCCTGGCGGTCCAGTGGTTAGGACTCTGTGCTCCCACTGCAGGGGGCACAGGTTCAGTCCCTGTTTGGGGAACTAAGATCCCACAAGCTGTGCAGTGCAGCCAAAAAAAAAAAAGTAAGCTATTGGTGACTAACAAACACCGATAACACAAAGTAGCTGCTCAGTAAATGTTTGCAAAAACTTTTGGATAGCGTTCACATATCATAGTTACTAGCATATATTAAAAAGTGTAATTGTTGATTGAATACATTTAAAACATACAGTAATTGGGAGGTATGGATATATACATTTTTTTAGCCTAACTGAAACATAATTTTTTAACCTGCTTTCTGGAAAACTTGACCTTCAATTTGTTTGAACTAAATTTATTTGTTGCTTCCACTTTATACATGTGAGTAATAATGAGGACAGGTTCATAAATCTTTTGTGAGGTCTGTTTATGAGATCCTACTATAAGGAAATTTAGATAATGAAAATGAACCCTCAAGTAATAATGCTGTAGTTGCATTTTTTCTTGAAAGCATACAGTCTCAGTAAATGATACCAAACTTATTAGTGCCTTCGATCTCTTCTGCTGAAGAAAATTTATTGCTTTTCTTTTTCTTTTTTTTTGAGTTTTATTTTATTTTTTTATACAGCAGGTTCTTATTAGTTATCCATTTTATACATTTAGTGTATATATATCAATCCCAATCTATTTTCTTTTTAACACAACTTAAAGTCAAAATACTACATTTACATTTACTATATTGTGTAAATATGTTCTGTATGTAATTTTAAAATAACAAATTAGGTTAACTGTCTTCAGATTTTTCTTTGAAGAATACAGTTCTCTAGATTTCATAATATATAATCTGAAGATCTGTAGAAATTTTTTAAAATATCACTTTTGCATGAACAATGTTAAGTAACTTTAAGTAAAAGTCATTTAACTTGGATTGATATGTTAGAGATTATTTTTTATTGCAGTCTCATATATACAAATTTAGATTTTTTCCCCATTATCAAGTGATGCACCGTTTAATTATAAAAGAAAAAATTTGATGATACCTTTTAAATGAATATGTTTTGTGACAGAATGTATATTAGAATCTCTTTATCTAATAGAGCATAAAAAAGTCAATAAAAACTGCTCTCAGAACCTGTTTGGAATTGTTGTGTTTGGTACTTAAAAAATCCAAATGATTTTATGAGTGAAGGTTTTAGAGTGATTATAAGCACTTCTTTTTTATTATTATTAAAGTATAGTTGACTTATTATATTATTTTCAGGTGTAAACCACAGTAATTCAATATTTTTATAGATTACACATCATACAAAGTTATTATAAAATATTGACTATATTTGTTATTGAACCAAACTTGAGTCTGGTCACCTGCCATGCAGCAAAGCCTATTTATTGACACTGGGTATGGTGAAGGAAAGTACACCATTTATTGTAGGGCCCAGGAAGGAGTATGGGCAGCTCATGCACAAAAGACCCAAACTCCTGGATGGTTTTCAGGGGATCAGTTTTAAAAGCAACATTTGGGGGTGAGGGCTGCAAGATTCATGACTTTCTTCTGATTGCTTGGTGGTGAGGTAGCAGGATGACATTTCAGGAATCTCAATCATCAATCTTCTGGTTCCAACCAGTCTGGGGTCTAGTGCTTGAGAATGTAGTCACTGTCCTCCACCTGCGTGAGTGGGGGGCCTTAGTTCCTGACAAAGATATCTGTCAGATTGTTATGTATATCCCTTGAGGAGGAACTAGGATTCTGCTTTATTGCCGAATTACTGCCATTATTTTTTTTGTTTAACCACTTTTCCTTTGTTTCTGCATTCTCTCATTTCCCTAATTAGTAACTGCCTGTGCCTGCTCTTTGGAACTCAGGGAAAGCCTGGAAGACTAGAGACATTTTTTACAAACAAAAAATGGGGGAAATGGAGGGGCTTTTGTACACAGGAGGACCCCCACCCAGGACCTGTTTGATTTCAGTACTCCCTTTAGTTTTATATTCTTCTAACTTGAGAGGAAAAGGTGTGGGACAAGAAATGGAATAAAGTTTTGGATAGAGAGGTTAATAATAAACTCAGCAGAGGAACTCAGTTTTAGGGGGACTCAGTTGCATATTCCCTGTGCTGTATATTACATTCTTATAACTTTTTAATTTTATACCTAGTAGCTTGTACCTCTTAATCCCCTTCACCTACTTTGCCCCTTCCCCTACGCCCCTCCCCTTTGGTAGCCACTAGTTTGTTCTTTGTATCTTTGAGTCTGTTTCTGCTTTGTTATATTTGTTCATTTGTTTTATTTTTTAGATTCCACATATAAGTAACAATACAAGCACCTCTTTATTTAAAAAAAAATTAAAATGTGATAGGTTTTCCCCTCGTACTAAATTGCATATAATAATCATTCCTCTTTTTAAATTTATTTTTGAAGTACCAGAAATACCTTGCTGGGCTTTGTAAATAATTTTGACCATACAAATGTCACTTTGGGGGAACATTTTGAGATTTTCAGAAATATTTCTATATTCCTCCTTAATTTGGTGTGTTTCACCATTATTTTTCTGGTATTCAACCAATAAGGTCCATTATGGGAATAAATTAAATGATGTGACTAAAAATAAAAAATGACTTAAAACTATATAAAGATCATCCTACTGCATAGCACAGGGAACTATAGTCAATATCCTGAGATAAACCATAATGGAAAAGAATATAATAAATGTATACATGTATAACTGAATCACTTTGTGGTACTGTAGAAATTAACCCAACATTGTAAATCAACTATACTTCATTTTTATTTTTTAAGAAGATTTATTATTTATTTATTTAATTTATTTTTGGCTGCATTGGGTCTTTGTTGCGGCACACGGGATCTTCTTTGAGGTATGCGGGATCTTTCCTTGCAGTGTGCAGGCTTCTTACTAGTTGTAGCACGCAGGCTCCAGGGCATGTGGGCTCTGTAGTTTGCGGCACGTGGGCTTAGTTGCCCCACAGCCTGTGGGATCTTAGTTCCCTGACCAGTGATTGAACCTGCATCCCCTGCATTGTAAGACGGATTCTTTACCACTGGACCACCAGGGAAGTCCCTATACTTCAATTTAAAAAAAAAAAAGAAAAACAAAAAAAACCTATATAAAGATCAAAATGACTACTGCAGTTTGTGGTGTTCAGCTAATCAATGAAATTGATTGGATGCCTGAATCATGAGAATGTACATTAACTACTGAAAATGATTGTGAGGTAAACACATGGGACATTCATATTTCACTTAAAGGAGTAAACTTTAAATTATTATATATATATATTTTTATTTTTTTTGCGGTACGCGGGCCTCTCACTGTTGCGGCCTCTCCCGTTGCGGAGCACAGGCTCCGGACGCTCAGACTTAGCGGCCATGGCTCATAGGCCCAGCTGCTCCGCGGCATGTGGGATCTTCCCGGACCGGGGCACGAACATGTGTCCCCTGCATCGGCAGGCGGAC